CTGCAGTTCTTTGCACAGTATCTTTACAAATCTTGAAACTTTTTGCCAGGCAAACTGCTTGTGAAGCCACCTGATCTCAAACAAGCAAAGTCATAGTTCTGTTCCCAGGAAGAAATACAGTGATATACTCTTTTAAATGTAATACATTAACAGTGAATTAAAGTAAATCCTTGTTAATTGTCTGATGTCGATTACCAGGTAGTTATTTGAGCTGTATCTGAAACCAGCCTCTTCCAGTTACAAAAATCAATCTGACTTTCAAAGTACAAAGTATCAAACACAGCTATGCAGTAAACCAGCCTTACACTGGAGAAGTCGGTGACTTCAGATACAGTCACTAATGAGAAACCAGTTCATTAGCATTTTCATAGGAGAGGTGAGATTACATCAGATTACGCACTAGAGGCGACCCACTGTCTGCAGTGATCCAGGGTTTTTTTAATGTATTCTCCTGTCTACTGCTCTTACTTAAAAATGGTGAAATGATCATTTATCTCATAATCTACCTTGTCCTTTTCAATATGGCAGAAGCTCTTTTATCTTGCCGCTGTGTTTTCTATGAAATGCAAACCTAAACAAAATATTTGCAAAGATCTAGCTCAGCTCATGGGGAGGAGAATGTGAGTCAGTTTGTGCTCCCTGCATGGCCAAGTATATTAATATCAAAATTTGCTGATTTTCATATTCATTCCTCTGCTACTGACTAGACCCTAATACAGCTGTAAAGCCAGGTGACCCTCTGTATCTCCCAAGGTGTTGCACAGTTACTGCTCTAATGGACACTGTTCTGCTTCATGTACAGGGGATGGAGAATTATCATGGGAACATTCTGATGGAGACATATTTCGGCAGCCAGCCAACAGGGAAGCTGTAAGTGGGACCTACAGTTTAAAGACATACTTTCTTGCTCTGCTGTGCATGGCAGTACATTGGGAAAAAAGAGAAAAGGATGATAATGGGTCTGAATACCTACTGCCTCATTCTGGGTTCTGTGAATCTAGCCCAAAACAGGTTTCTTTCACTCAGCCTGAATTCATGAACAATGCTGAATTAGAGCAAGAGCTCCTGAAGTCTCTGGATTTGTTTTTTTCTGTATATGCTCTGCAAGAATAAAATTTGACAGTATGTTTGCTATGCAAGAATTGCTCTTAAATAGTAATTGCAAATACTTGCTTCCCAGTTCACATACACACATATATATTTACTACAGGGCTTTACTGTCTTTGATGGTAAAAGTATCCATTAACAACTTACTGCTCAAGAGATTATTTTTGTAACAGCATTTGGAGAGAATCTGAAGGGCTTTTAAGCATTAGGTGCACTACTTAAATACATGAACCAGCCGATCTTTGGGTGAGTGGGAAGAATCATGTCTATAAAATAAGGGCTGTAATATGAAACCTTGAGGTTCATGGGCATTTTGGAAAATAATTCTCTGAAAAGAAGCAGTGTTTTTGCTCTAGAAAACATGCTATGCAATACTACACCTACTTTTAGTCCAGCAGTACTTGTTCCCTACTCGTACCCCTTGTTCATTGGAATGAGACATGGACTCTCCTGCTCTCTTTCTGTCTCCAGAGACATTCATATCATCGCTCCCATTACGACCTGTCAGCCAGCTCTGCCAGGCAGGCAGTCAACATGCCACGATTTCCCAGTGCCAGGAGTAACCGTGGAGTCCTACCAGACCCCCAGCAGGCCTCCGGAACAATCGTACAAATCGTCATCAACAACAAGCACAGGCACGGACGAGGTAAAGACAAGCACTTCTTCCACTATTGCTCTGGGTCAGGAATCAGTCACCTAGAGCTCAAAAGGCCTCTCAAAATATACAGCAGAATCTTGAAAATTCTCACTGGTATTGAGAAATCCGATGCAAATCAGGGAGGCAAAAGGAATAATCTCTTGAGGATATGGAATTCGTTCTTGACTGAGATCAGGTCTGCCTACACGTACAACATTGCATTTCCCTCTGTAAAAGCAGTGTTGCTTTCTGACTTACTCTGTGGGATTGTGCCCCATAATTCTGAGAGCTCATGTGGTGGCTGCCAGTGCTTTGTGCCACAAAGGACACCACAATGCCTTTAGATTCACTAACTTGTTCACACTGTAACTTATCCTGGAGGAAATTGTTTGTGGCTATTTTCTTTACACTCTCCTATTTTGAAATTTTTATAGCTTCAAACAGCTTATATTTCAACTGCCCTGCAAATCTCAGACCATAAAGCTCTGCCACAGTATTAGGTTTTCTTAGAGGCAGTAGTTTTCTGTCTCTAAGACTTAGCAAATTATTCTCATGAAAGACAGTCTCATGTCTCCTCCACCTTAAACAAGTTGCCTGAGACAGTGGGATACAAGGGATGATCTCCCTCCCCTGTGACTAACACAAGTGGCAGAGTAGGCAATTTGCCTGTACTGGATGCCTGAGCTGTAGAGAGGCAAATTTAACCAATGTAATGATTCTCACTATAAAGAATCTTTTAGTACCTTCTGCTAATAGAATATAGGACATGCTACATTTTGCGGACAGCAGAATTTTAAGCCCATGGGGCAAACCATATTCAAGTCATATTCCTCATGTACTACAGGAAGGACAAAAATAAAGGGAAAATGCCAGTTCACCAGTTAGTGGGACAGCAGGTTTTATACAGTAAAAAGGGTGGAATGCTCAGTTCCCACAGGGGGTGTACCTCTGTGAACAGAGGTCTGCAGTAACAGGCCTAGGAAGCTATAAAAGAAATAGCTGTAAAAACACATGCTCAGAAGAGCATCTATCCATAAATACCAGTCAGCATACTTAGAAACTACCTCAAAGAGTTAAAATCCCTTGTATTAGGGCCAACTAATCTTTTAAGGTATTAACTAACAGAAGGAATGTTGGCTATAGGATCTTTATTATCCACCTGAACAAGCATGAAAAAGCATTCAGATCATGCCAGTGTTTTATGGTGAATCTAGGAGCAGGAATCTCCACACAGTGCAATATCTTTGACATGTAATTTGCACATGAAGACATCATCAAAGCAGTTTCTAACTGACTTGTTTCAGCAAATAAAGGACATAAAGACGAGCAGCATATTTCTGGATGCAGTATAACTTCAGACACTCACTGCCTGGAGAGTGTCTGAGAGATCCCCATGATGGAAACAGGAATGCTGACCATGTGTTTTCTTTTGTTCCTGTGCAATTAACAAGTGTTTTAGTAATTAATGCACATGTCCCTTGAGACACATTTCAACAAGTTAAAGAACTAACTCACAACTCTTCTGACGTGCAAATACTGTGTGGTTGTGTGGATACAGATTTCTCATTCTGAGCATGAAGAGCACTAAAAACAGGATAACTAGAAGTTATTTGCCAGTATTTGGCTTCTACTAGAGTCTTCATCTCCTGCCTCAGAGTATTTATTTAATTGTTCTGTGTCAAAAAAACCTTAAAAGACAGAGAGTATGTATCCATACAATGTCATGTATTATCCCTTCTGTCAGGGAGAACTCAGGAAGTATTTATGTCCGTAAAGGATCTGGAGAACTCTAGCTGGGGGAAAAGAAGTCCATGGAAGCATACAAATTAGCAATATTATGCTATTTAAGCATGTAAGAAGCCTGCTGAGTGGCTGAGTACTTACCAGTTTTTTCATTTATAATTTCTTTCTCCCATGTTCTTAGTATGCATATAAAACTTTACTTTTATTTGAGAAACAAAACTGTTTCCTATCTCTAAAAAAACCCCATGTCTTAAAAAAAGAGTTAAAAAGTAACAAATTACTAACCAAATGATAGCATAAGCTCATGAAAGACATTGCAAAAAACACTCTTCATAAATCTCAGTAACTCACTTTATATAAAATATATAAACCAGTTGGTTACATCTGTTACCAGTTAGATATAAATTTCAGATTACAGATAAAATTTAAATTGCTTTTGAAAGTTACAGGCAAAACAGGAACATATTTTACAAATAAAAACATTAATAAAAATGATGGCATATTAGAAGAATTGGAAATATTTACAACATATCCCAGCTTCACTTTTGTTGCTTTTAGAAATCATGCAGTGCCCTTTCTTTCACCTTGTTAGGATTAGTTTGCATTTTTCTTTGTGTTTATAAAATATTTAAAAAGAAAGAAGTAGGATTTATAGGACAAATGGAAACATGGTGTAAAGTGATTTAATTCCCATCAACTGCTGGGTGACCCAAAGTGGCTTCTACCAGGCATGGATTTTTCCACTCTCTTTGTGTCAGCTGTATTCCTCTGACTCCCAGGGGCTCTGATGAATAAATATTCTGAAGTTCTTAGAAGCTTTTGGAATGAAATTTCAGTCCCTAATGAATCTTTTGAAGTTTTCTTGTAATTCCAAAAGCCAAATGAATTTATATACCTATCGACATACATATTTCCACAAAGGAATTCAACTTAATTTTGCAAGTATTCTGTGCTTTGTTCTGTGTGCTGCATAGCAGAACTCTCATGTACAAGCAATAAAAGGCCCAGGTATCACTAATCCAGCCAGCTGATAGCATTGCTCTCATTGCAAAGGCCGTGTTCAGCAAATGGCTGGAGCTGTGCAGATGACTCAGTGGCAAATGACATGAACCTCTCATCTCCAAATTTAATTCAAATGCAGGTAAAACAATTGTAGCAGGCTGTGTCCTGTGTGTGGACTGAGAATACAAGGGGAAGAAGTGAGTTTTCTAAGCTGGTTAATGCATAACTGAAATGCAAGAACTAGGGGGCAGCTAGTCAGACACTTGACCTTCACTGTTTTCCTCGAAACCTAATGGACATCAGCATCAGCAGAGTTGGTATCAAGGAAAAACTGCTCAGAAAAGGATGATCCTGGGCTCAGACTCATTTTAAATAAAGGAACTACAAGTTAAAATTAAAAAGTAAAGGAACAGGCCTGAGATGCTAACAGATGATGTATGGAAACACTACTTTAAACAATGTGCATGAATCAAATGAATATTTGTAGACAGGTAGCAAATGAACATACCTTTTCCACTTGAACATTTTCTTCTTTTTCTTTTCTTCTGTAGTTTGTGTTTCAAATGGCAAAACATACTCGCATGGTGAATCTTGGCATCCCAATCTCCGGGCCTTTGGAGTCGTAGAGTGTGTGTTGTGCACCTGCAACATCACCAAACAAGAATGTAAGAAAATTCACTGTCCAGAACAATATCCCTGCAAATACCCTCAGAAAGTAGAAGGAAAATGCTGTAAAGTCTGTCCAGGTAAAACAAAGTTGATCACAGACCACCTTTTTGCTGTGCATGTTAAAGGGCTTGGCTCAAGCCTCCTGATCACAAGCTCTGATGTGAACAGCAGCAGCTGTGCCATGTTCCAGCGTGTGTGCAGAGGCCTCAGCGAGACAGGCACAGCCACCTCTCCTCTTGCTGCTGCTCCTCACACAGGGGACATGCTGCTGGCACATGTCCTTAGCAGTCACTGCCTTTCTCTCTGCTGTTAACACAACTTCCTGATGCTCATTTCCAAATAGAGTATTACAGAAATGTATACAGAAAGTTCATTACTGCCAAAAGACTCCCATCCTTCCCCCACCACCGTGCCAAAAGAACCTTCAAATATTTTCTAGCTTGTAAAATCCACATGGAGATAACATCATTTCTGCTTTTTAAAATGTACCAGAAGGATTCATAACTCTGATTGGTGTCAGTTACATAACTTAATCCTTAAAATAAATACTAACTTATCACAGATTTAGCATTGTGTCTATGCTGCACTAATGATAAAACTTATTAGACATTACTAAAATAAATGCTTACAGCTAGTGAAAAATCTCCTAAAAGGATTCTGCTGATGGTTTGCCAAATGAAAAGTCATGTTTCATGTAATACAAAAGGTAAAGACCTGTCCAGTTCCCTTATGTGCCTTTAAACAGTTCCCCTCTGTACCCATTTATGTGTTTGTTTGATGATGTGCTGGGCAAGAATGATCTGAGGAAACAAGTTGCTCAGCCACATGTAGAAACATTTGTAGAATGCACACTTCCCATCTCCTGCTAGTCTTGCTTACTGGGAAAAAACCACGAGGCAGTGGCAGTAGGCAGGCAGGAGATGTGTATCTAGGTCTTTTGGATACTTGTGAAGCAGAGATCCATAGATTTCATTGGAAGAACAGCCAACAAAGCCTGGCTAACAGGCTTCAATAGAAAAATTAATGGCAAAAAGGAGGTTACTGCCTTGTTTTTTGAGATCCTATGTACCCATTTTTACGAAACATGAATCTTTTTCTGCAGTCTGTCTTGTACATATGGAGATGTAATAATTGTTAGGTGTTTCCACAAAACGTGGTCTGAGTCTCATAAATTGCATCATCTCTCTTATATTCCTGCCCACCTTTCAATTGCAAACAGAATAATTTTATGCTCTACAACTTCACCAGGTGGGCAAGAGATAATGTGTGCTGTGGCTGGCTCAGGCTTGCACTGGCCACGTGGCTGCTGCCAAGCAAAATGCAAACCTCATAGAATGTTTTCCTCAGCAAAACATTAATTTGGGTCTCTTCACTCTAACCAATCACCAATTTTCATTTAGTTCTTTTACTACCCTGAGATTTCTCATAATTTCAAATAAACCCCATAATTTCAAATATGCTTGAAAAGTAGACAGCAGGTTCAAAACTTGTGAGGAGTCTCCCAGACCACATTGTTGTACACAGCTCATTCCCTTAGGAAACTGGATTACAAGTATAAATACTGTCTTGCCACCATGGACAGGCTACCAGAATCTGGCAGAACACTGTTAAGTGTCTGTGTTAACAGCTGGAGATGGATTTGTGTGGCCATACAAATGAACATTCTACTTTCAAACTAACGATTCTTGGCTATTGATGCCAAGTAAATTCTGGAGGACTTGATTATAGCTGTAGTATGTGCTCTGTCCTTTTTGTTTTTTAAACAGAAGATGTGCCAAGTCAAACCTTTGACAACAAAGATTACTTCTGTGGGAAAGAGACATTTCCTGTCTATGAATCCATTTCCACAGAGGAAGGAGAAACCATCAGGAAAATTGCAATTGAGATTGAAAAGCCACCTCAAATAGAAATACATGTGTGGACAATCAGAAAAGGTGAGTTGAGCAAGTTCTTTCTTTAAACACTGTATCATCTTCCATTAAAATCCCAGGAGAGTTTACAGATCCAAGCATTTTGAGACTGCTGTTCTTTTGGCTCTTTAGGATATCACTATTACAGCCACTTCCAACATACTCGAGTTTTTCTGTACAGAACTCATTAGCAACACACAAAGCTGTAGTTCTGCTAACTCCTTTTCTCCCTTCTTTGGGAGCAAAAGCACAATAACAAACAGGTTTTCAGATTACTCTGTGTAATTTATTGCAGATAAATGGCTAGTAGGGTTTGAAACAAGTGCCTGGAGGCTCTTACTTAGGATGGACCAAAGAGCTTTCCATTGAAATTGGTCTGCCCTGTCTGCCATAGTGATGATACACCCATGATGGTACATATAGGATATGGGCAAAAAATGTGTTAAGCATTCAGAAGCCCAAGCACTACTGCAAATCGTGAACTTTCAGTGTCATAACAATTATCTCCAACCTCATAAAAATCATCTCATCATCTCTATCTACTTGAAGCAAAAAGTTCATGATCCTCATAGGAAACCCTCTCACAGTGCACCCTTTTGCATGAAAATGATACATCTTTAGATGCTTTAAAGGAGAAAGCCAAGGCCAAAGTGGGAGCAGAAAAGAAATCACAGAACATTGGGTGGTACACAATTACCCTTTGTGTTAAAAAGCCACAAAGCCTAATAATGATGTGACAGTCATGTTGCCTGCTGGCTGAAAATGGTATCTGACTGCAGAATTATGCTGTTTTTCTCCAAGACACTGGAACTTTTGGCTTCTCTTGTAATGTTACATTTACTCATTTACTAATTAGGAAGGATTCAGCTGTTTTGGAAAAGAATTGGCTAATTCTCACACCCCTCACAAATTCACTGCAATCCCAGTTTCACAGGAGGATTTACAGGGGAATAGCAAAAAACCAGAGGGATGGAGAAACAGAATTAAAAAGGAATAGACTGAAAATTTTACAAAAAGGCAGGACAGCACTCCAGGTTTATAACAGTGGGCACATTTCCAATAACATGCACTTCTCATTTCTTTGCGGAAGGGATTCTGCATCACTTCTATGTTGAAAAAGTGTCCAAGAGAGAATTTGAAGGACTTCCTTACTTCAAGTTGATAACAAGGACAACCCTTAGTAAGTAAAATTCTGACTTAATGAGGTTTCTACTCTCCATGTAATCATAGCCATGAAGAATATTCTCTGTTACTCATCTCAGTCAAATGGATATACTGAATTTTCCTCTAGTACATGATCACAATATTAGATAAACTGAGATTTAAGTAATTAAAATACAGCAATTTAAAATATAGATACATATAACAGTCATTCATGTACATGCTTAGTCTCTTGTGTTTTGATGAAGTAGAATATAGGATCTTTTCTGCCCATGCTAGTGTAAGTCTGAAATATGACTAATGTCAGCACAGCTGCAGAATTTGGATTTATTTATGTAACACGTCAAGTTACCCTAGTGTTTTAGAAAGTAATTTAGAAGGGAAAAAAATCAGATCTTTTTAAAGGGATTCTACATGCACTTATGTTTTATTTGAAAGATTACTTTCCTATGTTCTTAACAACACCTTCATCATTAAAATGTGTTTTATGAAAGGACATATATTACTTTTATCACTCTTGATTCAGTTTGGTTTTTGTATTTCATCCAGTTTGGGATTGTGACAGTAGTTAACAATTGCTAATTCAGCTAATTTGTTAACTGAATAGAAATTTTTGATTCCTACTTCTTTCGTATTACAACTTGAATTTTTTTCTATCACTTTTTTCCTAGTTAAAAAGTCTTTTTCCCAGAAATAATATATTTTTAATTGCTACAGACCTACTGAGATACAGATATGTTTTCATATTAAAAATTCCCTAGTTTTTTGCTGTCAGCCTTCTATAAGCTTGTCATTGCTATCTGCAATGTATTCTAGTAGCCAGTAGTATTGTAGTTACCAGGACAGCATGCATTTCTATTACCACCATCATAAATGTGTAGAAATATTATTTTCCATCACACTTTGTATTAGGCACAGGTAGGAGGAGTTCACAGCACATGAAACATTTAGCCGTGTTGCTTCCCAGCTTTTAAATACTTTGGTTTACCAGGGAATCCAGTGTCATAAAATGGTTGAATAAACAGAGCCAACTTACAGGACTACTTAATTAAAGAAAATAGTAATAATCTGATACATATTTTTTTTAATCAAAGTTATTTTGCATGGAATATGTTACATGGTTGTAAGATGCTTCAAATATTTTCCATGGGAGGATTGGACATTCCCTCTTTGACCACTGTGAATCAGTTGATTTGCAGAGTGCTTGTAAATGTCTTCAAAGTCCCTGTGCCCTTTTCTAAGTCAATATCTGTCTCCTTTGTGTTTTTGTTTTCAGACCAGTGGAAAATATTTAGCGAGGGAGAAGCTCAGATCAGCCAAATGTGTGAAAGCAGAGTGTGCAGGACTGAGCTCGAGGATTTGGTAAAGGTTTTGTACCTTGAAAAGTCTGAAAAGAGTCACTGTTAAGGGAGACAGCACTGGAGGGAAAAACACAAGAAAACTTCTGAAAACTTGGATCTGCAGCTGGACTGCAGGCTTATTTTGCTTAAGTCAGCAGTTGCCCTAAACCCCAAAACTATAATGCAGTAATTATTCACATCATGCACAGCAAATTTGCTGCTTTATGTGTAGTGGTCTGTGTCAACTGTTCAAATATCTCCTCCAAAAGACTAGAAGGCTCTGTGTTACTGGTGGGGGAAGGAGAAAGAAAGACCGTGCTTTCCTAGACTTGCATTTCTTTACAAGTTAAAAAGAGAAAACAGAACATTTTTTTCTATTATTATCTGGCAAGTTATTCAAACTAATGAAAAGAAGGACACCTAATAAATGTGCAGGAGCTATGGAGAGCATTATGTCCTGTCCTGAATTTATACCATTTCTGGTGTTGAAATGACTCATGGATTTCTTGTAGTAGTGGAGGAAAAATAGGAGTAATACAATATTCATGTTGGAGACATAAAA